TGGAGAGGGTTCAGAGAAGAGCCACAAGAATGATTCAAGGATTAGAGCACATACCTTCTAGTGACTGAGCTCCTTGAGTCTATCTATTTAGCTTAACAAAGAGAAAGTTAAGGGATGATTTGATTATAGTCTATAGGTATCCACATGGGGAACAAATATTTAATAGTGGGCTCTTCACCCTAGTAGAGAAAGGTGTAACATAAGCCGATGGCTGGAGGTTTAAGCCAGACAAATTCAGACTGCAAATAAGACACCGTTTTTTAATGGTGAGAGTAATTAACCATTGGAACAATTTACCAAGGGTTGTGGTAAATCTCCATCACTGTCAAATTTTAAATTGAGATTGGATGTTTATCTAAGAGCTATGCTCTTGTAATTATTCTGGGGAAGTGCTGTGCCCTGTGTTATACAAGTCAGACTAGATGATCACAGTGATCCCTTTTGGCCTTGGAAGCTAAAAGGAGAGAAGACTGGCAGTGGTGAGAACAGTGCCCTCTGCTGTTACTCCTACTGCACAGTGTGGAGGGGCACCTGTAACTTTACTTTTGCAGAGTACGGGTGCCTATTTTGAGGTCTGTAACAGAGTCCGCTCGCCACTGTGGTTTTCTTTGTGTCAGGTAACTTGACCCCCCGGCCAGGTCTCAGTCTTTTAGCCCACCCCTTCTGGAATCACCATTGTCCAAACTAAAAGTTCAGATAACTGTCTTTGACAGAAAAAGAGCTTCCACCCTCTCAGGCTCTTCTTTAGCCATTCTCTCCCCCAGTTATTCAGGGTCTCTCCCAAGCCTCCCTGCTCATTCAGGGGCCAGCGGGATCCATTTTGCTCCCTTCAGTCTCTCCGCTCCAGCCTTTCCCTAGCTGGGCCCTCTCAGTACTTAAACCTGGCTTTTTCCATACAGGAATCACCCAATTCCTCTCAGGTGAGGCCCATCCTGTAATCAGCATTGGCTCCAGGCTCTTCAGCTCATGGGGAAAGCCACCCTGTTATAGATAGGGTTCAAACCTTGTATTTCAAAAAGTAAAGGACTGTTTTCCTAGCACTCCTGCCCCACCCCTCCTCTCAATATTATCATCATCAGTAAGCAGTACTCACCTACACTCGCCAGCAGTATTTCTTGCTGCTTTTCATGGCACTCAGCAACTCCCAATCTTGTACAGAGATGAAAAAATAAAGGACATCCCTTATAATAAGGGACTCTTGGCAACCCTAGATAGGGCCATTGAATGTTGATCCAGCTAGGACACCATAAGTACATGTGTATCTGACACTATCTGTTTATAATGATTGTAATAGTGGGACAGGCACAGTAGAGATTTATATTTCAATACTGGGCATCACAACCATGTCATGAGTGGCCAGAGCTGGTCGTCATAGCCAGAGCCCACAGTCACAAGGCAGGAGTCAGCTGGATCAGGATACCAGGTCAGAAACAGAACACAAACTGGAGATCAAAACCCTGAGTCAGGAACCAGAGTCAGGATACCAGGAGGTCAGACTCAGGAGACAAACTGGAGGTCAGAACTACAAATCAAATGCCAGGAAATCAAGTGAGGGGAGCAGGAAGCACAAGGCACACACAATCCAGAACAGAGGAGAATCCAGTTGTTCAGATAGCTTCCTGTTCCTGCTGCTGGCTTAAATAGAGCCAGGAGGCCAATCAGCTGCTCCAGGACTCCACCAACAGGACTGCAGAAGTGGCATCTCAAAGTAAGGCTGCGCTTCATGAGTCCCAGGTAAGCAAGTATCAGCAAGCTACCAGATGGAAGGTTGGTGTGTCGCTGTGTCTATAAACCCTGCAGCCCTAGGTTTGAGACCTGTGGGTTGTGACACTGGATCTCCTTTAGGGAAATAGCTACTTATGTCAAAGTATGGAGTGGTTTTGTGATGCAGTCAAACGCATATTAAGAACTAGATGAAAACTGTCACATGAATGTCATGGATAACCATCCAAGGCAGACTTGAGCCCAAGAAGTCGATTTACTTTGCTACTATATTTATGATCATGTGCAAGAGTTTTTCATATGCAACTCCCACTGGTGTTTGCATTCACAGAGAAACAAAAAATGTGGTCTCCCTACAATCTCAAATAATTAATAACATGAAATTTGGCCACCTCTAACAGAGGTGATCCCTCCTCCTAACCCAATTCAGCACTGATAATAGAAAATGGGCTCCTTTGTTTCCAAATTTGATCCACGGTGCATAAAACCTTGGCTATCTAAAGAGTGAAAATATTGATCATTAACTGGCTCCTTATGTGGTAATCTCAGAGACAACAACACAGCCAGCACGGTTGTCTGTGTTTCCAAACAAGTTAGCTCTTGCTGCTGGATCTTTTACAGTTGGCTTTGACTCCACTGACTGTCATGCAAAAGAGAAGTATGCTGGGAGGAGACACCATGGGGAAAATGGTATTGCATACTGTTACATTTTTAGGTAATTAAAATAAGCTTGTTTTCTAAATATTTCTCTGATGGCAGCAAATGCTTGGAAAATAAATAACAAAGAAGCATGGGAGTACTTTTTTTTTAAATTGGAAAAATGTTTAGTAATATATTAACTCAAAAAAAAAGTGTCTGTGACATTCTACTGTTAACTTATGTGTGCTATTCTCTGATGTAGGCGATGGTGTAACCACATGTATCCTGTTAAATAATAATGTGAATGATAGCTAATCTTGTTTATGTTAAAGGCTGGATCTTGTGCCATGCTGTATGTTGTGCTGGTGGCAGTAAGAGGGTAGGAAGCTGCTGTTCCTCCCACTCCATATGGGATTTCTCGCTAGTGCTTGAGAATGATAGTAGGAGATGATAGTTCCTGCATTCCCTGGGCCAGATCCTCAGGAGGGGTAAATCGGCATAACTCAAATGTAGTCAATGAAGCTATGCTGATTTGTGTCCGCTGTCAATCTTGTTTCCAAGGAGGCAGTTTTCTGGTGTGATGCATCTCCGGGCTTGTCTATACTTACGCGCTGGTTCGGCGGCAGGCAATCGAACTTCTGGGTTCGATTTATCGCGTCTTGTCTGGACGCGATAAATCGAACCCAGAAGTGCTCCCCGTCGACTCCGGTAATCCTGCTCGGCGTGAGGAGTACGTGGAGTCGACGGGGGAGCCTGCCTGCCGCGTCTGGACCGCGGTAAGTTTGAACTAAGGTACGTTGACTTCAGCTATGTTATTCACGTAGCTGAAGTTGCGTTCCTTAGTTCAAATTGGGGGGTTAGTGTAGACCAGGCCTAAGGATCTCCAGCAGGCTAGCACAACAATGCGTATCCCATTACACAGTGCACTTGCCTGTACAGGTCACTTGTAGGGTGGCAGGACTCTTAGATCAAAAGACATACCTGACAACATCCTTGCTTCCCTTAGCCATGTTAGCTAAGGCAGAATTTTGTCCTAAGGGTTAGGTGGTCATTAATTATTATTATTATTTTGTATTATTGCTCGTAGAGGCCCCAATTAGGGATCCACATTTTACACGCATATAATTAAAAAACAGCCCCTTTCCCAAAGAGTTTCCAGTATAGAGCATTTGTCAAGTTTCTAGATTTTAGAAGGATATCTCCACATTTTTCAGTGTTTCAGTATCCAAAGCAGGCAAACACTGTTTTCACCCTGATATATACAGTAGAATCTGCTTGTATTGCTCTCTTTGGGAAACAGTCTACCTGGTCCTTATAGTCAAATTGATAACAAGTTACACATGGTAGCAGACACTACATTTCTTTTCAATGGCAATGGTACCATTAATTTCAATATTTTCAAGAGATGAAACCAACATCCAGGATCCCAACCCACCTGAACTTTGGTGTGATTGAAAGTTGAATTTGCAAACAGCCCTTGTCTTTACAATGAATCAAACAAAATCCTAGACCCAAACAACCAAAGTTTGGGATGGGTTCATAACTGGGATCCCAGTTTTGCTGCCCATGTTAACTATTTTCACTGCAAATGCAAAACAACTTTCGCAGTAGAGTGCTGTTTTACTTAAATTCATAATAAACCAAAAGAACACTGACCTTTGTTTATATTTGGTACGGAAATTATATCTGCATTGTATCAGCAACTGGGCTACATAATAAGTGCACTTTCTGTTTTGTGAATATCTAAGTAATACAATACTCCATTACCCTTGAATCTTTACCATCCCATATCTGCTTGTGAGCTGGGTTACGGTCAGTCAATGTCCTTGTCTTTCTATGAAGCTTAAAAGCATTGAACAATTCCTAAATGTTTGTCCACGCTGTCTAACTGGCTCTTTGGCACTGATTCAATAGTCTGTAAAATCTTTACCTTACTGCAATATGAAAGCACAGGATTCACATGCCACATTTTTGGTTAGGTTGTTTAGAATGTGGTGAGTCATATTTGTACGGTACAGTTGGCTTTTATCAGCCTCTAATTACCTTTAAAATTGATCTTTATAACTGAAACTCAGCTGGTTCTTTTAATAAGGCCATGTTAACAAATGAGGTCACATTTTCAAGTTGGCAAGAGCCAGCCTGTTGTTTTCCAGGCTGCATATTAAAAAGTAGGTAGTAGTTCCTGCTGGCTAGGATTTTTTTTTTCTGTGAAGCATATGGAATGCCCCATGGGGAAGAGGTTGCTGGAACATAAGAATTGGCATACTGGATCAGATCGGAGTCCAGCTACTTGGAATCTTGTCTCTAATAGCGGCCAGCACCAGATGCTTCAGAAGAAGATATAAGAACCCTACAATAGACAGATATGGGATATTCTGCTCCCCACATTAGGTTTCATCCTGATCTCTAATAGTTAGAAATTAGTTATAAGCCCTAAAGCATGAAGTTTAATCTCTCATCTTATTAAAAGATGAAATACATCCTAGAATACTCAAGGAGCTGACTGAGTCGATATCTGAGCCACTAGCAACTATCTTTAAAAAATCATGGAAGACAGTAGAGATTCCAGAGAGCTGGAAAAGGGAATATAGTGCCAATCTATACAAAAATAAATAAGTACAACCAGGGGAATTACATACCACAGTCAGCTTAACATCAGTACTCGGAAAGATAATGGTGCAAATAATTAATCCATCAATTTGCAAACACCTAGAAGATAATAAGATCATAAGTAACAGCATGGATTTGTCAAGAACAAATCAGGTCAAACCAACCTAATGGCTTTCTTTGACAGGGTAATAAGCTTTGTGGCTAGGGAGAAGCAGTAGATGTGGTATATCTTGACTTCAGTAAGGCTTTTGATACTATCTAGCATGACCTTCTCATAAACGAACTAGGGAAATACAACCTAGATGGAGCTATCGTAAGGTGGGTGCATAACTGGTTGGAAAACTGTTCCCAGAGAGTAGTTATCAGTGCTTCACAGTCAAGCTGGAAGGGCAAATGAAGTGGGGTCCTGCAGGGATCAGTTCTGGGTCAGGTTCTGTTCAATATCTTCATCAGAGATTTAGATAATGGCATAGAGAGTACACTTATAAAGTTTGTGGACGATACCAAGCTGGGAGGGGTTGCAAGTGCTTTGGAGGATGGGATTAAAATTCAAAATGATCTGGACAAACTGGAGAAATGGTCTGAAGTAAATAAGATGAAATTCAATAAGGATAAATGCAAAGTACTCCATTTAGGAAGGAACAATCAGTTGTACACATACAAAATGGGAAATGACTGCCTCGGAAGTAGTATTGCAGAAAGGGATCTGGGGGTCATAGTGGATCACAAGCTAAATATGACTCAATGATGTAACACTGTTGCAAAAAAAGCAAACATTCTGGGATGTATTAGCAGGAGTGTTGTAAGCAAGACATGAGAATTAATTCTTCAGCTCTACTCCACACTGATTAGGATTCAACTGGAGTATTGTATCCAGTTCTGGGTGCCACATTTCAGGAAAGATATGGACAAATTGGAGAAAGTCCAGAGAAGAGCAACAAAAATTATTAAAGATCTGGAAAACATGACCTATGAGGAAAGATTGAAAAAACTGGGTTTGTTTAGTCTGGAGAAGAGAAGACTGAGAGGGGACATGGTAACAGTTTTCAAATACATAAAAGGTTGTTACAAGGAGGAGCGAGAAAAACTGTTCTCCTTAACTTCTGAGGATAGGACAAGAAGCAATGGGCTTAAATTGCAGCAAGGGCAGTTTAGACTGCACATTAGGAAAACCATCCTGTTAACGTAGTTAAGCACTTGAATAAATTACCTAGGGAGGTTGTGGAATTTCCATCATTGGAGATTTTTAAAAGCAGGTTAGACAAATACCTGTCAGGGATGGTGTAGATAATACTTAGTCCTCCCTTGAGTGCAGGGGACTGGACTAGAAGACCTCTCAAGGTCCCTTCCAGTCTTACGATTCTATGATTCTTCTACCTACCTCACCATGCTCGTCCCCTTCTTCCCCAACTTGTCCCTGTCCCAATTCTGTCTCTTCCTCATCCTGGCTCCTTGTCCTATTATCCTTGCCTACCCAGTCTGACTCTACACTCCTCAGGCTTCTCATTGGCATGACCCATGCATGGGCAGTCAGCCTAATGGTCACAGCAGCAGCAGTCAGAGGCCAGGAACAGCGCTGTAAGTCAGAGCCAGAGTCAGGAACCAGAGCCAAGGTTCAGAGTCTGAGTCAGAGTCAGGAGTCCAAAAGCAAGCTGAAAGGCGGGTCCAGGACCACAACTGGCAGGGGAGTTCACCTTGTTGCACAGACACTTCTTGGAACTCCTCTTGGTCTTAAATAGAGTTCCTGGACCAATTAGGGGCCAAAAGGGAAGCTTTAAGTCCGGCTTTCTAAGGTGGTACTGCCTGTTTATTTATCGCCACAGAGTTTATACGGTAATGTATACAGCCCTATCACAGCTGCTGGGTGGCAGTGAGGAGACATCGGCTATCCCTAGGACCTGGGTTTTAGTCCCTGCAGAGCTTCACATCACCAACACCTCCCATGCCCCTTAAGGGTGCTGCTGGATCATGCTCAACAGCGTGATTTTTGTGGAAGGCGTCCACAAGTTTGGATGCGTGGACATGGTCAGCTGGTTCCCAGGACTGTTCTTCAGAGCCTCTCCAGCCAATGAAGTACAATAGGTTGCCCTGCTTTATCCTGGAGTCAAGCACGTTGTGACTACATATTATTTGTGGTCCTGGACACATACCAGCAAAGGTGGTGGTTATTTTTGATGGGGGAATGGATTTTCCGTGTAAGGTTTTAGGAGAGATGTTTGGAATACAGGGTGCAACTTGAGAGATTGAGACAGGCAGAGTTTGAAGGTAACGGGGTTGATTTTTTTGACAGATATGGTAAAGGCCAAGGAATTGGTGATCTAGTTCACAGGAAGGCTGGTTGGTGCAGAGGTGTTTCATGGATAGGCACCCTTTTTGGCCTACTGAAAATGTTGGTCTCTTTCATTGTCGATGGTCTGCATACTACTTGTAGGCCTTCTTTGCTTCCTTAAGGTGGCTTCTTAATTTCTCTTGGACCTGGTGAATCTGCTGAATCCAGTTGATAGCTGCCAGGTTTGGGGAGGCCAGAGGTAATGCCGGGTGAACTGGGGGTGGAACCTGTAATTGGCAAAGAAAAGTCTCTGCCCAGTGGAGACATGATCGGTGTTGTTATATGCAAATTCTGTAGAGGGCCAGTTATTCTGCTGATAACTGACTAAGCACCATAGGCATTGTTCTAGTATGTGGTTTAGCCTCTCTGTCTGGCCATCTACCTGTTGGTGGTATGTTGAAGAGGTGTAAGCATGGACCCCTTGAAGGGCCTCACATCAGAAGCACAAGATGAACTGAAGGTCTCTATCCAAAGTGATACAGTTTGGAAGCCATGGAGGCAGATGACGTGTTCCACTAGGAGTTGGGCTATTTCTTTGGAGAATGGTAGGTGGGTGCAGGGGCAAAGTGTGCCATCTTAGTAAATTGGTCCATGACAGTCAGGACTAACATGTGGCTGCTGGACTCAGAGAGTTTGACGATAAAATCCAGGGTGATAACAGCCCAAGGCCTGGGCCAGCCCTTCACGGGCAAGAGAAGGCAAAGGGATTTGTTGCACAGTGTCTTGGTGCTGATGCACAAGTCATAGGAGTCAACATAAGTCTGTGTATGGCTTACATCCAGGGCCAGGAGAAAAAAATGGGAGGCTATGTGACAGGTTTTAAGATGACTGAAATGGCTCGCTAGGGGAGAGTCATGGCACAGACACAGTGCCTCCACTCAAGGGCATCCCAAAGGTATATATATTTGTCTATTTACCTCTCACATGTAACGTTGTCACATGTAGTGTTATCCTTTGTCTCTGTCCCTAGCTCTTTGGGAGAGACCCCATTCCTGAGGCTGAAAATGATTAGATCTTAAAGGATGGCATTGTTAAGAAAGTTACAGGGCTTGAGGATGTAGGACAGTTCCCTGCTAGGCATTTCTTGGCCTAAGTAATATTCCACCTTTCTAGATAGTGAGTCCACCTTCTCATTACGGGCCACCAGCCGGTAAGTGATGATATAGTCAAAGAGAGAGAAGAACACTGCCCACCTGACTTGCCTCTGGTTCAGTACTTTGGCCTTGTGTAGATAGTCAAGGTTTTTGTGGTACCGGATACTGGGCTGCTTCACGGTAATGACACCATTCTTCATAAGCGGCTTTGGTTGCCAGGAGTTCCTTATCCAAGATCTCAAAATTTTGTTCTGTGTGGGTGAGTTTCCTGGAGTAGTAGACACATGGGTGTAATAACGATTCCGGACCATGTTGCTGAGAGACCACTGCTCCTATTACTGTGTTAGACATTTCAATTTCCACAATAAAGGCCTGCGTTGGGTCCAGGTATACCAGGATGTGAGCAGTGGCAAAGGTGATCTTGAGTCATTTTGGGCTTTGTGGGACCAAATAAATCTGGCATTTTTGCAGAGAAGGATGGTCATGGGCACTATTTGCCCTGAAAAATCTGAAATAAACACTGATAGAAAATGAAGCCTAAGAAGCATTGTAGACTGGGGGTACTATGTAGAGTGGTTAACTCTGATTTCGATATCGCATAGATTCAACCATAAGGGGCTGTTGCCCCAGGTTACAAATCTATACGGCAGTTGTAGCCCCGATGTAGGGTAGCATGTCTGCATTCTTTTTCTCAAAAATGGCCATGTACTCTTGGTATTTGACAGGGAGGTAGGGGGACAATCCTGAGGGCAGCCCCATCTGACCTACCACCAGAGCCCAGAGTACCCTTGAAGATGACATTGCCTTATAGTGGAAGGGTCTACCTGGATCTGAAGAACCATTGTCAGCCTTGCACAAAGGATATGGGGGTTGTGGACAGCCAGCCATGAGACACTGAGAATCAGGGGGAAATGCGCATAATGGATTGAACCAAATGGCAGTCTCTCTCAAGTGTCCTTAGATAGTGATTTCCAGGGGTTCAGTCTCTTCTACCACTGGACCTGAGGACAGGAAGGACCCTCCTATCCTGTCCACAAGGTCTGGGGTAGGTTTTGGCTGTACACGGATTTGCAGGACTAAACCATGTTGATATCGATAAAGTTATCAGCAGCACTGGAATCATTAAGGGCCCATAGCACAGATATTGGAAGGTTCTCGTTCGGAATGCGTAATTGTATCGTACTTGAAAGTGTGGTGAGGACCCATGTGGCCCAGGATGCATCCCGGGTCAAGATCGGGGAGGAGGCTATAACCCCTTGGTCACACCCACGCCAAGCCCCTCTACCAAGCCTGAGGTTGGTCATTTCCCTGATTAGCTTAGTTTGAGTGTTTGATTTCATTTGCTTAGTAATCTGCTTTTTTCTGTTTGTTACCCCTTTTACCCCTTAAAATCTGCTTTTTATAGTTAAAAAAATTGTTTTGTTTATTATTAAACCCAGTTTCTGTAATTTCTGTAATTTCTCTCCAGGCTGGTGTTCGCGAAGGGCAGGCAGCAGAGCATGACCTGGCTCAGAGCAATAAAAACATAGGTTATTATGCCAGTGTCACTCCCTCTCCTGGGTGGTCAAATGCCAGCGAGCTAGATCGACCTACCTGGGCTCAGAGGTCTGTGGATGACAGTGTGGGTAGGACAACTGCAATACCCCTTTTTTCTCCTCTTTTTGTTCACGCAACCTGTTGTCAATACAAATAACTAAGTTAATGAAGACATCCAAGCTTGTAGGATCTCTATTCAGGCCAGTTCATCCTTGATCTCATTCTGGAGTCCCCACTGAAACTAATAAAGCAGGGGTGCCTCATTCCATTCCACATCAGCAGCAAGCCATCAAAACCAAACGGCGTATGGTAGCTGGGCCCTGTCCCTGTCAGAGCTTCTGTACGGCGGCTTCAGCTGAATGGGTGCAGTGGGGGTCATCGAAGATTGTCGAGAATGCTTGGAGGAAAGTGTTCCAGTCTGACAGCACCAGCCTGTTTCGTTCTAATTAGGGGGAGGGTCACCAACTCCCAGTATGCTTGCCCAGTTTCAGCCTGCCCCTTCCTAGCCCATCTGCTAGTGCCAGCCTCCCTGCCCAATCAGTCCCAGCTTCTCTCCCTTCTCCAGTCCCAATCTCACTAGATTTCTTGTCTCAATCTACTACTTTCCCTCTCCCTGGTCCAGCTCTTGTCCCCTCTGCATTTGACTCCAACAGCTTCCTCCTCCATACTGTCTAGGTGCCAGTAGTTGGGGGTCATCCTAGTGCCTGGCCTGGAACAGTTGGGAGCAGCCATTACAGGGAAAGTCTGGCTTTACCTCTGTAGTCCTGGAGTCCCTGCTCTAAAGCGTGGGAGCGCTTAAGCCGTTCAAAGAAAGGTTGCTGGAATTTTTTAACATGGCAAACCAGCATATTTTTCCCTAGTCTCACTCTTGGGCATGGCTGAATCATTTTGGTTGAAAATTTCAGAATAATTCAGCCTAAGGTCACCACCTGGCAAGGAAAATTTCAGCCCAAATGGTTAAAATTTAGCAAAGTTATAGGCAACTGAATACTGGGTCTTATAATGAGACATATCAGACCACCTTAATAATAGGCAGTGCTATCAACCCACCTATAATACCTCAGATATGGAATGATCATCACTGCAGTATCTACTGAACTCAGGATTTTAGTCTGTAGAGACAACTAGTACCTTCTTTAACCTCCATGTGTTTGGAAATGAAAGGCAAAGACATGGCAAAGGCACAATAGCAACTGAAGACATGCCTTGACTATAGAAATACAGGTGATAATTTTCCTTATGAATATTAGCCATTGGAAGGGATAGCAACATATGCAAAATCCTTTACGTGCTTTGTAATATTCCTCTAGGTGATTATTTCCACTTGGAAGAGGTGGTACTACTAAAGAGGAATGAACTTCAAATGGAAAAATAATTATATGTACACATTTTCCTACTTTGAAACATTAAAAAAGATGCTTTGGCTCATCCCCTTTAGGATTTACAGTCTTCCTTCAGGCAGTTAATAAGTCTTAGCATTTCTGAAGCTGGTGATGAATGACTAGAAACTGAAAGTGCTATAAATAAAATTTGACAATTTTAGAATCATCATAAAAATGAAAAACTAGTCCTCCATGTTTTCCCAGTGACATCTGAGTAAGGTAGATAGAGTTTAACATTCACGCAGGATACAGTATAAATTGGAAAAGGACCAAGAAATGTAATTCAGACGTACGGTCCTGATGGAATACTACTGCACAATAACGTTATTCGCAAAACTTCAGCAACCACAAATGATCGATAGCATATTTTCAGGATTCTCTAATAAGATATACTGGGCCAGAATTATCCCTGCCATAATTCCATTGAGTAAGAAGGGAAGGAGAGAAAACGCCCCTGCTACCCTATCAAGGAAAGGCTAATGAGGTATCCCTGGTTCCAGGACTGGTTACTGTTGCTCAGCAGACAGTGAAGAGGAGCCAGGCATGCTACAGGTATTCCCTGATGGAAATGAAGATATGGATCCAGATCCCTAGCTACAAATGCAGAGGGCACATAACAAAGGAGGGGGCGTGCTCTACCCTAAATTGGAGCAGTCTTCATGCTGCTTTAAGTTGTACTGGCTGCCAGCAACAGACAGAAAGAAGTGCAACAGTTATGCCTCCTTCCCCAGCCACATCCCCTATCTGATAGCCAGAAACTGAAGTCAAAGGGAGTTTTGTCATTTACATCAATAGCAGCAGGTCTCATAGACTTAAAGACCAGAAGGGACCACCATGATCTAGTTGTTAGAAACTGGCTGGCTGGTCTAGTTGCTAGAAGCTCAGGCTTGGTCTACACTACCCCCCTAATTCGAACTAAGGTACGCAACTTCAGCTACGTGAATAACGTAGCTGAAGTC